GGTTGATTGTTGATTAGCTTGCATAGGTAATTGTATGACAAATTGATTTCGATCCAAATATCGTTGCTGTGCTGCTTGTATTCGTTGAAGTGCATGCCGAAGAGCCATCCGTAAATATGGTTGTTGAATAGCTGATGCTGATGATGATGATGGCATAAACATTTCTTGAAGTTCATCTGCACTCATATTCTCAATGATTCGTCGAGATGAATCTGAGATTCCGTATTCCCGTATCAGTAATTCCGAAAATGATGGCACATTCTGGTCGTATGAAAAATGTATCCTTAATTGTTGCGGTGATTGAGAAAATATTTGTTGTTGTGATGTATTTTCTCCTTCTTCTTGAGTTACACGAGATGTTTCTCGAGATGATTGCTCAGACATTTGCTGACAATCAATTTATCCGTAACGGTAATCCCGTAATTGTTTACACCGGTTATAGATAAACTGCGCAAGCTATCCTTTTGTTTTAATGAATAATTAATTAATTAATTATAGTTTCTATCCTTCTTATATCGTTTGTTGTTAACCTGTAATTAACATTTCTTTCTTAAAAATTTCATTGAAAAAAAAAAAGGCAAATCATCACGAAAAAAAGAAAACAAACAAATAAATTCATACGTTAATATTTATAATAATTTCATTTATGAATTTTTTTAAAAAAATATCAAAAATAACAAATCATTAAAAAATAGAAACGAAAATATGAAAACATTCACAAAAATAAGCATTTTAAAATCTATTTTTTGTAAAGTTTTTTTTTTCCACCATGAAATTTCTAATTTTTGAACTCTTTGAATATGAATTAATGAGAAATTATAGTACTAAATGATATTAGATTTTAATAACAAATGCTTGCTAATTAATAAAAAAAGAAAGAAGAATGAATTAAATAATACTATTAATAAAGAATTGGAGCAAATTGAAGAACATTTTTTGACAATTTTATAATTTAGGATTTTATAATTGTAATTAATAGAAAAAAATATGGAAGTTTGATGAAAATAATTGCAAAGAATTTATTATTGCATTAAAATAAAAAAAAAAATGATATGATAATGTATTGTAACAGATATATGCTTGATAAAACTAATAATCAGTGCTTTTTTTTGTTTTTTTAGCTGAAAAAATTCCATTTATACTTTTAATTGGTAAGAAATATTTATGGAATGAATAATTTTTTGAAACAAATTCATTTCAAGCATCGAATTAATTAAATTATTCTAATTGCATTAATCAAATACACAAATAAAAATATGAAAATTCGCAATTTATATTATAATTAATGAAATGGAAATTTTAATTTCATTGAGATGATGAATTTTTCACTTAAATCTCATCCTGCAAAAATTCTTTTTTCTTTAATTCCTTTTTTTTCAGAACGTGAATGTTCAGGTTCTTGTTAGTAAATTTAGCCAAAATTGAAAAAAAGAAGGCGTTAATTTTAATTTTAATTTATTTGATTGATATTTTGTACAATAAAATTCAAATATTTCTTATTAGCTAGCAAAATTTATTAATTATTGTGAAAAGAAAAGAATGAAAATTTCAGTTACATTCTTTTTTCTTAATAGCAAATACATATATAATCTATAAATTTCAAAATTCTAATGCTTTTATTTTTGAATTGTAAAATAAAATTAACTGATAAAAATGAAAATCAAAAAAAAAAGAAAAAATTATACCAAAAAATATTCCATAATATGAAAATTAAATTAATTTAACCACTTACTCTATGTAATAAGTAAAATAATCTTTGAAAATATAACTTTCAAAACCATGCAAATAGTTGTTAAATCTTAATGAATAATTAGTTTAGTCATTTATTATGTAAGGCAGATGAAATAATTTTTTCAAATTTGCTTTTTTTTTGAAACTTGTTGCTAAAACTTCGAATAAATAGTTCAAAATTTTTAGATTGATGACTAATTAATTTAAATGAAAGCAATAAAAGAAGTAAATAAAATTTTTGAAAACATAATTTTAAGATAGTACTAAAATGCTTTGAAGTAAAAATAAAAATACTTTGAAGAAAAATTTTATAAAAAAGAAATAAATGTTTGAAAATGCAATTGCAATATGAGAAAGAAATGAGATCAAATTAATTTTTGAAAACGAAAAAATAAGTATAAAATGAATAAATAAATGAATGTATCGATGAGAAGAAGTTATACTTTCATTATTAAATTGTAACGATTAGTTGCGGTCATCGAATGTTTCGAACTGGAATGTGATAGGTTATTGACGAGGTGGGTTATTAATGAGGATATCCAGGTAGGTTATTACTGAGGATGGCCAGGTAGGTTATTGTTGAGGATGGCCAAATAAGTTGGTACTGAGGATGACCAAATAAGTTGGTACTGAGGATGACCAAATAAGTTGTTACTGAGGATGACCAAATAAGATGGCACTGAGGATGACCAAATAAGTTTGTACTGAGGATGACAAAATAAGTTATTACTGAGGATGACCAGGTAGGTTATTACTGAGGATGGCCAAATAAGTTGGTACTGAGGATGATCAAATAAGTTGGTACTGAGGATGACCAAATAAATTGTTACTGAGGATGACCAAATAAGTTGTTACTGAGGATGACCCTTCACATTACGTAATAGTAAAGGAATGAAATGGGAGGAATATGGCATCAACAGCTTCTCCCTCCAATTTTTCTACTGACCCTATAATTGACCTCTGACACCTAGCATCTTTAATCAATAGAAATGCATCCGCTTTTGATGATGACAATAATAACAATAATAATAAGTAGAATAAGTAATAATAATGATAATAATAAGTATTAATAATAGTAATGAAATGAAATTATTAATAAACAAGTGATAAATATATATTATATATAAATATTTTTCGATGAATTTTTCTATTTTATTAATTAAACGGGAAAAAAAAATTAATTAACAATGATTTTTTAAAATATTTTCAATGTTTTATTAGAATGTGAATTTTTAATTTAATAATGTATGCAAAAGAATTTTTAACTTTTTATTTTTAAAAACAAACAAATATATCTGAATATATTTTCATCGTCTCTTTTTCAAATTAAATTTTTCAAAAAACAAAATTACAAAAATATTGCAAAATTTATTATCAATTTATATTTCAACAAAAAAAAAAATGGAGAATTTTTTAAATATAAAATTATTTATAAATTTTATATTTTATAAATTAACGTTTAGTCATTTTTTTTTCTTTTTGCTACCCTTCAGTTTTTTGTAATTTTTTTACTCAAATGATGATAATCGATTAAAAGAAAAGCCATTTTTGAGATAAACAAAAGAGGAGTAGAAGAAAGAGAGAGAGAGAGAGAGGAAGAGGGAGAGAGAAAATGAGACAAGGAAGAGAAAATGAATAAAGAGGTTGTGCAAATCATATTAAAACATTAATTTCAATACTTTTGAGATTATTCTTTTTTCTTTCTTTTTCTTTTGGTTTTTTTATTAAAAAAGTAGGAGAGAGAGAGAGGGAGAGGGAGGGAGAGAGTGATAAAGGAAGAAAATATCATCATTTATAGTTTTATATGACTTATGTTAAAAATGTAATTATCATCGATAGATTGACAGCTGCTATTGCATACGACAAATCGTACCACAAAATTGTGAAGGTCATTTGATGGTGAAAGAAGAATTAAATCGTTGATCGGTTAGGATAATATTGCAACAATCTGTGTTCTCATTTCTTTTTTTTTTTTAAATTTCATTTGTTACTACTAATAACTTATATTTGTGTCAACCAGCTGCTTTTAATCAATGAAAATTTTCACTTTCAATCATTTTTCTTTTTTCTTTTTTTTAAAATAAACTCGAAGGTTAGATAAATTTATAAATGCTAATTGTAAGTATGCATTGTATCACATATATAAAGCATACAAGCTATTTGAATAATGTTTGTATCAAATTTGAAATAATATTTGAATAATGTTTGTATCAAATTTGAAATAATATTTGAATAATGTTTATATCAAATTTGAAATAAGTATTGAGTTTTATTCTTTGATTTTTTTTTTTAACAAATGCAAAATTTTGTAACAATGAGATAGACCTAAAGCACTTTTTACAATTTCAAAAATTACTTCTTTGAAGTGCACTGTTTTTGTGAAAAGTTTAAAAGATCTAAAAGTGGTTTTTGAAAAAAAAATGTTATTATTTTATTATTTTATTTTATTTGTTCTTCATTATTTCAGTTTATTTGAATTTTATACAAAACTTAAATTATTTCATAATTATTCGCAATATTTGTGAAAAAGTTTTTTTAATGATTGTGAATAAAAAAAAAGGAAGAAAAAATCATTCCAGACTTTTTTATCAGAAGTGATTAAATCTAGATGTCTTATCAAATTACTTATTTACAATTAGATAAATAGACAACTCACATTGTGATCTATTTTTTATTGACATATCTGTGATAAGATTAAAATAAATCAACTCTAAGATAAACTGAATCAATTCCAATCAACAGATTTATCCAGAAATTATTTAATCGATTAAGACTGATATGATAGTACATCGCTGCCATCTTTAATAATGTTAGTCATTTAATGAACTTTTTCTAACTATCTTTCATTTTTGATTTTAAATGTTTAAAAAGTACTCATTTCATAAAAGAAAAAATGTCAGTACGAAATGATAATTTCCATTAGTCTTTCAAAAATTTGGAACAGACGGCAGTAATCATGAATGCAACTTGATATTACTCCTGGAAGGAACTCAACTAGCTATATAATCAGTCAGGAATATCAGATAAATTTTTCCTTAAATAGCATTTCTTATATGCTTGTATATACTTGTGATAGCATCAAACAAAAGCGCTTAATCCAATTTTTGACGTAATTAGCAGCATTGTACATAATGAAAACTATTCAGATGATGATAAACAACAGAAGTTAATGCTTATACTTTATTTACCAAATTAATAAGTCAACACGAACAGATAATTGTAATTATAAAACTAGGCAAACCACCTAGGGCAAGAATAAAATTTTTTGCTTAGTAAATAGTATTGTTATCATCCACTTCTTCCGGATAACGATCTTTCACCTGCAATAGTTAAAACATAGAATATAAAAAAATCACAAAATTTATAGAATATACTGGCTTATATTTATTCTATTTTAACGAGATGTATTCTTCAATCTGTGAATTCGTCTAAAGTAAGGAGTGAAGAAAGGATAAAATGAGTATACAACTTGCAATCTATTTGATTAATTCTATGACTCACAAAGAGTTCACATATTTTCAGTGCAAATATAAAACACTCTTATTGTTCTCTTTTTCTGGTTCTTAAATACCTATGTCTTAGTAGTGTAACTCTTACATTATTTCTTTCTTTCATAAAAATTCCTAAATTTATATATATTTTACCTCTAAATCCTCGCCATGCTGTATTGTGTTATCAATGAGTAATAGAAGATCACTGATCGATTCATCGTCTTCAATATCTAACGGGACAAAGCGTACCTCAAAAAATACTGTTTATAGAAACATTTTTAGGATGATAAAATAATCCAGGAGATCTCTCTAAAATGATGTTGGAAGAAATGATAGAAAAATAAATGTACCTAAAAACCAATAGTGCAAAAGTTTTCAGAGAATATCTGAAGCTGACACTTTGTTTTAAAGTTATAAAACTTTCATCACAATAAAACTTTTCAAACAGGAATAATTTGCCATAAAGGTACATACATGATTATAATCATCCAAAACTTCGGCGAATGTTTGTCAAAGTTGTCAGTACTTTTCATTCTAAGGTGAGGTATCTTCGCTGTCCAGAATAGAGCGAACGTCAGTCTCTGTTGTTGCTGCTGCCGTTATTGTTGTTCCGGACGGAATGGTTCCGATGTAGCGGAAGATTGTTGAAGGACTTGAACAAGCATTGGTTGTGTTTGCTGAAGTGACTGTTGTGATGGTAATGTTGATATTTGCTGTGATAATCGTAGCAATAGCTGTTGTATTGCTGTGCTATTTTGTTGTTGAGAAATTTGTTGTGATTGTAGTAGGGATTGATTTATTTGTTGTGATGATTGGGTAATTAAATGATTATTTTGGGAATTTGATTGCTGAAGGAATGGTTGCGAAGCTCTTTGCATTTGTTGTTGTTGTTGAGATTGTTGTGGTGTTAAATTTGAATTTGCTTGTGATTGAGGAAATTGTCGAAACATTTGCGCATTTGTACTATTGCTAGTACTGCTAGGAGTTAGCACATGAAACATTGATTGCAATTGTTGAGATGGCATTTGTGGCAATTGTTGTTGTGCATTTGCTTGCTGAATTAGTTCGGTTGATTGTTGATTAGCTTGCATAGGTAATTGTATGACAAATTGATTTCGATCCAAATATCGTTGCTGTGCTGCTTGTATTCGTTGAAGTGCATGCCGAAGAGCCATCCGTAAATATGGTTGTTGAATAGCTGATGCTGATGATGATGATGGCATAAACATTTCTTGAAGTTCATCTGCACTCATATTCTCAATGATTCGTCGAGATGAATCTGAGATTCCGTATTCCCGTATCAGTAATTCCGAAAATGATGGCACATTCTGGTCGTATGAAAAATGTATCCTTAATTGTTGCGGTGATTGAGAAAATATTTGTTGTTGTGATGTATTTTCTCCTTCTTCTTGAGTTACACGAGATGTTTCTCGAGATGATTGCTCAGACATTTGCTGACAATCAATTTATCCGTAACGGTAATCCCGTAATTGTTTACACCGGTTATAGATAAACTGCGCAAGCTATCCTTTTGTTTTAATGAATAATTAATTAATTAATTATAGTTTCTATCCTTCTTATATCGTTTGTTGTTAACCTGTAATTAACATTTCTTTCTTAAAAATTTCATTGAAAAAAAAAAGGCAAATCATCACGAAAAAAAGAAAACAAACAAATAAATTCATACGTTAATATTTATAATAATTTCATTTATGAATTTTTTAAAAAAATATCAAAAATAACAAATCATTAAAAAATAGAAACGAAAATATGAAAACATTCACAAAAATAAGCATTTTAAAATCTATTTTTTGTAAAGTTTTTTTTTTTCCACCATGAAATTTCTAATTTTTGAACTCTTTGAATATGAATTAATGAGAAATTATAGTACTAAATGATATTAGATTTTAATAACAAATGCTTGCTAATTAATAAAAAAAGAAAGAAGAATGAATTAAATAATACTATTAATAAAGAATTGGAGCAAATTGAAGAACATTTTTTGACAATTTTATAATTTAGGATTTTATAATTGTAATTAATAGAAAAAAATATGGAAGTTTGATGAAAATAATTGCAAAGAATTTATTATTGCATTAAAATAAAAAAAAATGATATGATAATGTATTGTAACAGATATATGCTTGATAAAACTAATAATCAGTGCTTTTTTTTGTTTTTTTAGCTGAAAAAATTCCATTTATACTTTTAATTGGTAAGAAATATTTATGGAATGAATAATTTTTTGAAACAAATTCATTTCAAGCATCGAATTAATTAAATTATTCTAATTGCATTAATCAAATACACAAATAAAAATATGAAAATTCGCAATTTATATTATAATTAATGAAATGGAAATTTTAATTTCATTGAGATGATGAATTTTTCACTTAAATCTCATCCTGCAAAAATTCTTTTTTCTTTAATTCCTTTTTTTTCAGAACGTGAATGTTCAGGTTCTTGTTAGTAAATTTAGCCAAAATTGAAAAAAAGAAGGCGTTAATTTTAATTTTAATTTATTTGATTGATATTTTGTACAATAAAATTCAAATATTTCTTATTAGCTAGCAAAATTTATTAATTATTGTGAAAAGAAAAGAATGAAAATTTCAGTTACATTCTTTTTTCTTAATAGCAAATACATATATAATCTATAAATTTCAAAATTCTAATGCTTTTATTTTTGAATTGTAAAATAAAATTAACTGATAAAAATGAAAATCAAAAAAAAAAGGAAAAAATTATACCAAAAAATATTCCATAATATGAAAATTAAATTAATTTAACCACTTACTCTATGTAATAAGTAAAATAATCTTTGAAAATATAACTTTCAAAACCATGCAAATAGTTGTTAAATCTTAATGAATAATTAGTTTAGTCATTTATTATGTAAGGCAGATGAAATAATTTTTTCAAATTTGCTTTTTTTTTGAAACTTGTTGCTAAAACTTCGAATAAATAGTTCAAAATTTTTAGATTGATGACTAATTAATTTAAATGAAAGCAATAAAAGAAGTAAATAAAATTTTTGAAAACATAATTTTAAGATAGTACTAAAATGCTTTGAAGTAAAAATAAAAATACTTTGAAGAAAAATTTTATAAAAAAGAAATAAATGTTTGAAAATGCAATTGCAATATGAGAAAGAAATGAGATCAAATTAATTTTTGAAAACGAAAAAATAAGTATAAAATGAATAAATAAATGAATGTATCGATGAGAAGAAGTTATACTTTCATTATTAAATTGTAACGATTAGTTGCGGTCATCGAATGTTTCGAACTGGAATGTGATAGGTTATTGACGAGGTGGGTTATTAATGAGGATATCCAGGTAGGTTATTACTGAGGATGGCCAGGTAGGTTATTGTTGAGGATGGCCAAATAAGTTGGTACTGAGGATGACCAAATAAGTTGGTACTGAGGATGACCAAATAAGTTGTTACTGAGGATGACCAAATAAGATGGCACTGAGGATGACCAAATAAGTTTGTACTGAGGATGACAAAATAAGTTATTACTGAGGATGACCAGGTAGGTTATTACTGAGGATGGCCAAATAAGTTGGTACTGAGGATGATCAAATAAGTTGGTACTGAGGATGACCAAATAAATTGTTACTGAGGATGACCAAATAAGTTGTTACTGAGGATGACCCTTCACATTACGTAATAGTAAAGGAATGAAATGGGAGGAATATGGCATCAACAGCTTCTCCCTCCAATTTTTCTACTGACCCTATAATTGACCTCTGACACCTAGCATCTTTAATCAATAGAAATGCATCCGCTTTTGATGATGACAATAATAACAATAATAATAAGTAGAATAAGTAATAATAATGATAATAATAAGTATTAATAATAGTAATGAAATGAAATTATTAATAAACAAGTGATAAATATATATTATATATAAATATTTTTCGATGAATTTTTCTATTTTATTAATTAAACGGGAAAAAAAATTAATTAACAATGATTTTTTAAAATATTTTCAATGTTTTATTAGAATGTGAATTTTTAATTTAATAATGTATGCAAAAGAATTTTTAACTTTTTATTTTTAAAAACAAACAAATATATCTGAATATATTTTCATCGTCTCTTTTTCAAATTAAATTTTTCAAAAAACAAAATTACAAAAATATTGCAAAATTTATTATCAATTTATATTTCAACAAAAAAAAAATGGAGAATTTTTTAAATATAAAATTATTTATAAATTTTATATTTTATAAATTAACGTTTAGTCATTTTTTTTTCTTTTTGCTACCCTTCAGTTTTTTGTAATTTTTTTACTCAAATGATGATAATCGATTAAAAGAAAAGCCATTTTTGAGATAAACAAAAGAGGAGTAGAAGAAGAGAGAGAGAGAGAGGAAGAGGGAGAGAGAAAATGAGACAAGGAAGAGAAAATGAATAAAGAGGTTGTGCAAATCATATTAAAACATTAATTTCAATACTTTTGAGATTATTCTTTTTTCTTTCTTTTTCTTTTGGTTTTTTTATTAAAAAAGTAGGAGAGAGAGAGAGGGAGAGGGAGGGAGAGAGTGATAAAGGAAGAAAATATCATCATTTATAGTTTTATATGACTTATGTTAAAAATGTAATTATCATCGATAGATTGACAGCTGCTATTGCATACGACAAATCGTACCACAAAATTGTGAAGGTCATTTGATGGTGAAAGAAGAATTAAATCGTTGAGATTGACAGCTGCTATTGCATTAGGATAATATTGCAACAATCTGTGTTCTCATTTCTTTTTTTTTTTTTTAAATTTCATTTGTTACTACTAATAACTTATGTCGTGAAACCTCAAACTTGAGTAATTAAACCTTTATTTAACATGAAGCAAATAATAGCGCTTTATACATATCGTACGGATGCTACATCGATTAACAAACGCGTAAACTATATGAAATGCAATAATATAGAAATGGTGAAATAGTACAAAATTATAAAGTATTAGACGCATCCCAATACCACCCAAAACATAAAGCAAATGATGGTTATAGAAGGAGTGGTTGGTTTATATATAAGACTGATTTACCGAATGGAAATTAGATGGAAGAATTTCTCATAGATGAACAAAGACGATTGTTAACAAGATTAGTTTTAGTGTGTGAAAGGAGGAAATAGATTAGTTCATAAGAAAGTGGGGCTTGTAAAATTCCCATGGGGATAATTTCGATCCTTTGACGAGTTTTACCTTTATGACATAAGAAATTAAATATAGAATAAATTAATGTAAAGTCAGATTTAAAGACAATAAGTACAATTGATATTATCACAATGATTATCCCAATTATAATTGTCTTTAAAGACGAAATATTTAAATTATTATATCCAAAACTGACAAATTCCTCTTATCTAATTCCTAAATCTAATTTACATTTACAAAATTCTTCTCACACTTGATGATTCAATTTCCGAATATTTTTACATTTGTAATTCAGCTATGACTCATACTAATCTATTTCCTCCTTTCACACATAAAGGTTTCTTTGTTCATCCATGAGAAATTCTTCCATCTAATTTCCATTCGTTAAATCAGTCTTATATATAAACCAACCAATCCTTCTATAACCATCATTTGCTTTATGTTTTGGGTGGTATTGGGATGCGTCTAATACTTTATAATTTTGTATTATTTCACCATTTTTATATTATTGCATTTTATATAGTTTACGCGTTTGTTAATCGGTGTAGCATCCGTACGATATGTATAAAGCGCTATTATTTGCTTCATGTTAAATAAAGATTTAATTACCCAAGTTTGAGGTTTCACGACAAAAATAATTTTTGGTGCCCGAGGTGAGGTAAGGTATGTCGGCCAGTATAATTATTCAAGCTACACCAGTAAAAGCGAATCTCGAGGGACTCCTCGATGAAATACAACAATTGGATCTAACTCCGTTAGACCAAAAAGCGACAGTAGAAGTATTGTGCCAGCAATACGAAGCAAGGGCAAGGATCATCAAAGAAAAGTTGATGCGCCTCGAAAAATACGTTGGCACTCTTGAGAAGATCAACGACAAATGGTTGGAACACATTCAACTAGCCCCAATGTCGCAAAAGAAAAAAGAAGAAGAAAAATACGAACAAATGGCAAATGACGATAGAGGTATTTTAAAATTAATTAACATAGGTACGGATACCATTATAACCTTATCTATGTACAAGGATGATACAGAGTTAGCCCTTAAACGTCTAGCACAAATTAAAGAACCTAGCTTAACTGAATGTCGTCCAGTAGTAAATTTACCACAATTGTCGTTACCAACGTTTAGTGGAGACCCTAAAACATGGAGAGAATTCTGGAGTAGTTTCGAAGCCTCCGTACACTCTCAAAACATACCAGATATCCAAAAATTAAATTACTTGGTTTCTTGTTTAAGAGGAAACGCCCTACAGCTAATAAGAGGTTACGATAGGGCACCTGAAAGCTATAGAATTATAAGAGAATTATTAGTGGAGAAATTTGGTCGTGTTTCCACTATAAGAAAATTACTTTACAATGAACTCATATCTACAAAACGAAACAACCGAGACTGGAAAACAATAATCGAAGAAATGGAGAGAGTTCTAAGGCAGTTAGAAGCAATTGGCGAAAACGTAGAGCAACCTACCATCGAAACGATAATAGAATCCAAATTGCCAAACTGGATATTAAACCAGGTTTATCAACAAAAAGAAGAAGATGGCCAGTGGTCCGTAACAAAACTTCGACAGCTTCTCAGGAAGACAATTAATAGAAACGACCAGGTAATGGAATGGCAATACTTGGATAACGTCAGTCGTAAAAATTTAATTAGACGTCATCCTAACGCAAGCACTCCAGAAAATTCAGCATTGATTGCAATAAAACAATCAAAGCAAATCAGAGGAACGGCTTCAGCCGAAAAGAACCAGCTAAATGAAGAGAATCCAAATTGGTCGACAAATAAGAAAAGGAGACCCTGTATCTTCTGCAATAACAATCACTGGGATAGCAAGTGCCACATATATTCCACAGTGGAGCAGCGAATTGATCGATTGAAGGAAATCAATGTTTGCTGTAATTGTTTTAAATCTGGACACAACGAGCTCAACTGCATAAAAAGAGCAAGTTGTTTTTATTGCAAAAAATCCCACAATAGCGCCCTTTGTACCACTAAGACTCGTGATTCTGGGAAGATTGTTGCCAAAAATGCAAACATATCTGTTAATTCAACTAAGAAAGTTGAAAAGAAACGAGTACTGCTTTTATGTAAAGAAATTAATGTCTTTAATCTTGATAAACCTAAACATCAAGTACAAGCTTTAGTACTGTTTGACGTCGGCGCAGATGCGATCTTTATCTCACAAAGGCTAGCTCATCGACTAAATCTCCTAGAAACTGATTACACAAGACGAAAAATGTATCACAAACAATAGTATCCTTCTGTGGGATATTCAACAAATAACGAAGAAGTGTCGATATCGTAAGGTGGGAAATTTTAATGCTCAATTATACGAAAATCATGTTATCATAGACAACTACAAACATCATTCGTCTTCAGTAAAGATAACAAAACATTTAGAAGCGAAAACTGCAAATTTTCTAATCCCAACTTAATGGATGGTGACACTGTTATTGACATTGTAACGAGGATCGCTAACAATAGAAACAGAAGGAATACAAATTTAGCACTCGCTTCACCTAGAGGTAAGCTAATGATGATGGAAACACAAAGAGGAGACGATAGTGATCCCGAAAATACAAAATTTCAATACTTATTCGATAGTTTGCAACAAGAGTTCCAGCAACAATTAAAACTAGTAGAATAGCGAACTTGTGAAAATCGAAATAATCTGTTATTATTAATCGAATGGTTATCGCTGGATAATCCTACCCTCGCTGCGAATCTATTATTGCAAAGGGATGATGTGATCGCTAAAAGAATCAAAGGAAAATTATTGATCACCCCAACAAGTCCGATTCACTTAATATAAAAATTATTGAATTTAGAAGCGGATTGATAAGTAAATTTGAAATCGATAGAATCAATGCAGCATTAGAGATATTAGCACAAAATCAACAAATGATAAATCCAGTTTTCGAAAAGCAAGAAACATCCGAAATTTGGAATGAACTCGGCAACGTGGAGAAGAATTAACAGAACAACTTGAAGGAACACTTGAAGAATGGAAGGTGTTTTTACAAGAAAATTTGGAGAAACTCCTTTCGCACTGGACAATAATTATAATTGGGATAATCATTGTGATAATATCAATTGTACTTATTGTCTTTAAATCTGACTTTACATTAATTTATTCTATATTTAACTTCTTATGTCATAAAGGTCAAACTCGTCAAAGGGTCGGAATTATCCCCATGGAAATTTTACATGCCCCACTTTCTTATGAACCCCACGCATTACCCACCTTTTCTGGTCGGAAGTGTCGTGAAAGACGAAATATTTAAATTATTATATCCAAAACTGACAAATTCCTCTTATCTAATTCCTAAATCTAATTTACATTTACAAAATTCTTCTCACACTTGATGATTCAATTTCCGAATATTTTTACATTGTAATTCAGCTATGTCTCATACTAATCTATTTCCTCCTTTCACACACTAATCTTCACAGTTCCATTTCTCTGGAATATTGAACGGTATTCCTGTTTTCCATTGCCATTCTTTTTTTGCCTTCACTGGTATCATTAAGGTATAAAGCATAGATACTGATAAAAGTGAGACCATTAAGTTACTTTTACTGACCTCCTTTAATCGAGATTGTCGTTTTGTATTGCTCCTAGTTCGCATCGCAATAGGTTCGCAATAGGAGCTCCTCAGTGTTCTGTTCGGTTTCCGGAATTTTCATATTTTCTTTCTTATTAGGTTCAAGATGAATTTCTTCATCATTAACTTCGAGAGGATACAAGACATTTATTGAACGATCGAGAAGTTTCCCAGTGGGAGTTTCCACCTGAACGTTCCTAACTTTACCGTCTTTATCGATTTCGATGTCCTTGATCCGTAATAATTTCCACATTCCTCTTGGAATTCCCGATTCATTTAAGAGTACAATCTCTCCCTTTCTTGGAGTTCTTTTTTGTGCTTGGATGAGGTAATTTCCCTTTGCGTGCGTTCTCTGAGGCTAGTTAAATATTCGGTTCTCCAGATTTCCCAAAAAAACATTGGGAGTTTTAAGGGTACTTTCCCAGTGTCTCACGACGATGTTGTTCGTAACAGTCTTAACCATTTGCTAAAACGTTTGCTATCAATAAATTGAAAGTTATGATCCTTGCATATTCACGAGACTTCTGATATAGGGATTTCTTCTGGTTCGTCATTGTTGTCAAATTCGTATTCCCATTGTGGCCAACTGACTTCTCCTTTTACTAACCACGACGGTCCATGCCACCATGGTGTAAAACTTCTAAGTTGTTTTGGATTGAGACCTCTAGTTGCCACGTCTACAGGATTATCTTCTGATAAAATATAACGAAAGATAAATTTCGTTTTATGTATTTCTTCCACTCGGTTTTGAACAAATCTTGGTAAGAATGGTTTTTTATCCAATGTAAAGCACATTTAGAATCCGACCATAAAATTATCCTTGTATTGACGATATCCAGCTGTGTCATGACAAATTGTGCTGCTCGCGTTCCGATTAGTATGGCCATTAGCTCTAGACGCGGTATTGTCATACCTTTCATAGGAGCAATGCGAGATTTTGCAAAAATGAGCGATAACTTTGTTTCTTGCATATCCTGACTCACTAAATACACTGCTGCTGAATATGCTACGCTTGAAGCATCAGTAAATACATGTATTTCCAATTAAATCTGTAGAAGTTGTTACAAATCGCGGTAAGTCTTTTACGACCGTTGCCCATTCAGCAATAAGAAATTTCCATTGCTTATGGTCTTGCTTATCTAATATCTGATCCCACGAATTATTCTTTTTCCATAAATTTTGCAAAAATATTTTAAATCTTACCATTATTGGAACTAAAAATCCTAGTGGATCATATGTGATGCAACAAACTGTAAGATCGTTCTTTTTGTTAGTTCTCGGTCATTCCATGGATTTAATTTTATCTGAATGACGTCTTGACAGGGATTCCATGAGATGCCGAGGATTTTCGTATTTTTTCTTATTGCTCGATCTTGCTGTGGCAGTTCTGCATAAAATTCTTCGTCGTTAGATAAGAACTCCCTTAGATTCATTGAGGCTTCATTGAAGATGGATTTCATTTCCGCATATTTTTCTAATGCGTCCTGCGTTCCGTTTGATGACACAATAACGTTATCCACATAAAGGTTTTTCTTTATTTCTGCGGCTAATTCACTAACGTGGTTTTCCAAATGATAATTCAAGGTAGCAGATAGTAAAAAGGGGGATGATATTATTCCAAACAGGATTCTTCTAAAACGGTAACATTTTATATTCTCGTTGGATATACTTCCTTCTACTTCCTTTAGCCAAAGGAAGCGAGTACAATTTCTCTCTGAAGGGTGTAACTGTATTTGTAAGAATGCCTTTTCAATGTCAGCTGTGATTACCCCTTTCATCATTCTAAAGCGTAATAATACTCCCACAAGATCTGGGAGGTTAATTGATCCACGATATAATACTTCATTTAAACTTTTCATTCCCTTTATGTGCGCTGAAGCATCATAAACAGTCCTTAACTTAGTGGTAGTTTTAGCTGAATTACGAACATCATGATGTGGTAGGTAATGAATAATTCCATCTTGATTCATTTGTGATTGTACTTCTTCGATTATGCCAGATTGTAGTTGATCTTGCATTACTTTGTCATATTCTTGTAATTCCTCTTTATGGGACTGAAGTCGTTCTATTAGCATTCGCAAATGGCTGACGCATAATCCATAATTATCGCTCAATTTGCCTTTGCATGGTTTCCATGGCCAACGTACTTCGTATCTTCCATTTTGTTTAGTGATACTCTTCTTAAATTGTTCCAGTGCCTGTTCATCATCTTGTGTATCAGATCGATCTTGGATGCCAATACAGTCCAACTTCCAAAATTGATCTATATCTGGGGCACGGTTTTCTTGAGATGTCTTCGTTGCAAAGATCTGGTGATGGCACAATTCATTTGTATAACCGCTTCCTGCTATGGTGGGTCCAACTTTGCTGTTCAGTAAAGTGAATCCTGACTTTAGTTGCTGAGCGTTTTCCATATGAATAAAGTTGAAGAAATAGTCAGCTCCTATAACTATGTCAGGTTGTTTCTTGTAACTTTTAAGATGGTAATTCTCACCTTGGTCTACCACTTCCATCACTTGAAGATCGTTTGTCAAATAATCCATTACAGTGGCTTGGATAGTCACTTGATCGGAGTTTTGCGTTTTCACTCCAATTTGTGTTTGAGTTGTGCGGCATACTCGAGGAGTCCTATTGCCATAGGAAGAGATCTTATATTCTTCTTCATCAGTTTCTAGGAGATTTAGTCGATGAGCTAGCCTTTGTGAGATAAAGATCGCATCTGCGCCGACGTCAAACAGTACTAAAGCTTGTACTTGATGTTTAGGTTTATCAAGATTAAAGACATTAATTTCTCTACATAAAAGCAGTACTCGTTTCTTTTCAACTTTCTTAGTTGAATTAACAGATATGTTTGCATTTTTGGCAACAATCTTCCCAGAATCACGAGTCTTAGTGGTACAAAGGGCGCTATTGTGGGATTTTTTGCAATAAAAACAACTTGCTCTTTTTATGCAGTTGAGCTCGTTGTGTCCAGATTTAAAACAATTACAGCAAACATTGATTTCCTTCAATCGATCAATTCGCTGCTCCACTGTGGAATATATGTGGCACTTGCTATCCCAGTGATTGTTATTGCAGAAGATACAGGGTCTCCTTTTCTTATTTGTCGACCAATTTGGATTCTCTTCATTTAGCTGGTTCTTTTCGGCTGAAGCCGTTCCTCTGATTTGCTTTGATTGTTTTATTGCAATCAATGCTGAATTTTCTGGAGTGCTTGCGTTAGGATGACGTCTAATTAAATTTTTACGACTGACGTTATCCAAGTATTGCCATTCCATTACCTGGTCGTTTCTATTAATTGTCTTCCTGAGAAGCTGTCGAAGTTTTGTTACGGACCACTGGCCATCTTCTTCTTTTTGTTGATAAACCTGGTTTAATATCCAGTTTGGCAATTTGGATTCTATTATCGTTTCGATGGTAGGTTGCTCTACGTTTTCGCCAATTGCTTCTAACTGCCTTAGAACTCTCTCCATTTCTTCGATTATTGTTTTCCAGTCTCGGTTGTTTCGTTTTGTAGATATGAGTTCATTGTAAAGTAATTTTCTTATAGTGGAAACACGACCAAATTTCTCCACTAATAATTCTCTTATAATTCTATAGCTTTCAGGTGCCCTATCGTAACCTCTTATTAGCTGTAGGGCGTTTCCTCTTAAACAAGAAACCAAGTAATTTAATTTTTGGATATCTGGTATGTTTTGAGAGTGTACGGAGGCTTCGAAACTACTCCAGAATTCTCTCCATGTTTTAGGGTCTCCACTAAACGTTGGTAACGACAATTGTGGTAAATTTACTACTGGACGACATTCAGTTAAGCTAGGTTCTTTAATTTGTGCTAGACGTTTAAGGGCTAACTCTGTATCATCCTTGTACATAGATAAGGTTATAATGGTATCCGTACCTATGTTAATTAATTTTAAAATACCTCTATCGTCATTTGCCATTTGTTCGTATTTTTCTTCTTCTTTTTTCTTTTGCGACATTGGGGCTAGTTGAATGTGTTCCAACCATTTGTCGTTGATCTTCTCAAGAGTGCCAACGTATTTTTCGAGGCGCATCAACTTTTCTTTGATGATCCTTGCCCTTGCTTCGTATTGCTGGCACAATACTTCTACTGTCGCTTTTTGGTCTAACGGAGTTAGATCCAATTGTTGTATTTCATCGAGGAGTCCCTCGAGATTCGCTTTTACTGGTGTAGCTTGAATAATTATACTGGCCGACATACCTTACCTCACCTCGGGCACCAAAAATTATTTTTGTCGTGAAACCTCAAACTTGGGTAATTAAATCTTTATTTAACATGAAGCAAATAATAGCGCTTTATACATATCGTACGGATGCTACACCGATTAACAAACGCGTAAACTATATAAAATGCAATAATATAAAAATGGTGAAATAATACAAAATTATAAAGTATTAGACGCATCCCAATACCACCCAAAACATAAAGCAAATGATGGTTATAGAAGGATTGGTTGGTTTATATATAAGACTGATTTAACGAATGGAAATTAGATGGAAGAATTTCTCATGGATGAACAAAGAAACCTTTATGTGTGAAAGGAGGAAATAGATTAGTATGAGTCATAGCTGAATTACAAATGTAAAAATATTCGGAAATTGAATCATCAAGTGTGAGAAGAATTTTGTAAATGTAAATTAGATTTAGGGATTAGATAAGAGGAATTTGTCAGTTTTGGATATAATAATTTAAATATTTCGTCTTTCACGACAACTTATATTTGTGTCAACCAGTTGCTTTTAATCAATGAAAATTTTCACTTTCAATCATTTTTCTTTTTTCTTTTTTTTAAAATAAACTCGAAGGTTAGATAAATTTATAAATGCTAACTGTAAGTATGCATTGTATCACATATATAAAGCATACAAGCTATTTGAATAATGTTTATATCAAGTTTGAAATAATATTTGAATAATGTTTATATCAAATTTGAAATAATATTTGGATAATAGTGCGAAATGATAATTTCCATTATTTGGAACAGACCGCAGTAATCATGAATGCAACTTGATATTACTCCTGGAAGGAACTCAACTAGCTATATATTCAGTCAGGAATATCAGATAAATTTTTCCTTAAATAGCATTTCTTATATGCTTGTATATACTTGTGATAGCATCAAACAAAAGCGCTTAATCCAATTTTTGACGTAATTAGCAGCATTGTACATAATGAAAACTATTCAGATGATGATAAACAACAGAAGTTAATGCTTATACTTTATTTACCAAATTAATAAGTCAACACGAACAGATAATTGTAATTATAAAACTAGGCAAACCACCTAGGGCAAGAATAAAATTTTTTGCTTAGTAAATAGTATTGTTATCATCCACTTCTTCCGGATAACGATCTTTCACCTGCAATAGTTAAAACATAGAATATAAAAAATCACAAAATTTATAGAATATACTGGCTTATATTTATTCTATTTTAACGAGATGTATTCTTCAATCTGTGAATTCGTCTAAAGTAAGGAGTGAAGAAAGGATAAAATGAGTATACAACTTGCAATCTATTTGATTAATTCTATGACTCACAAAGAGTTCACATATTTTCAGTGCAAATATAAAACACTCTTATTGTTCTCTTTTTCTGGTTCTTAAATACCTATGTCTTAGTAGTGTAACTCTTACATTATTTCTTTCTTTCATAAAAATTCCTAAATTTATATATATTTTACCTCTAAATCCTCGCCATGCTGTATTGTGTTATCAATGAGTAATAGAAGATCACTGATCGATTCATCGTCTTCAATATCTAACGGGACAAAGCGTACCTCAAAAAATACTGTTTATAGAAACATTTTTAGGATGATAAAATAATCCAGGAGATCTCTCTAAAATGATGTTGGAAGAAATGATAGAAAAACAGATAAAGGTACATACAAGACTATAATCATCCAAAACTTCGGCGATGGTGTGTGAAAGTTGTCGGTACTTTTCATTCCAAGGTGAGGTATCTTCACTGTCCAGAATAGAGCGAACGTCAGTCTCCAAAAAAGCTTCCAGCAGTTCTTTATTACGATTTGATAATAAATCCACTTTTGATAAAACATTTACTGCCGGAACCTGTAAGTAGAATGAGTTGCTAAATTACACTTATATTAAATATTATAAAAAACTAAAAGCAAGGATGAAATTTAAATGATTCACGATTCTCCATTATCAACAGTTTCCATTAATATAAACAAGCTGAACTGCAATAAAACTTCACCTCCATTGCAACCATAGTCGAAAGAGTCGTTAGTGCACCACCTAAGAATTTGTTACAATCCAAAACAAACTGTGTATCAAGAAGGAACACAGAACATATATTAAAATCCCACGATTTCAACGCGTTAACAATTTGCCTCATTACCGGCAAATGACTGTAAAGCTCAATTTGTCCTGGAAGAAAAATCTTAATGAGTACCCTAAAATAGCGTAAAATAGTTTTAACTGTTAATGATGATTCACTCAAATACCTTGCCTGAAAGAAAGGTTTTGTGCAAGTGCTTTCGGAAAGCAGATATTATGCATCAAAATATCAAGTACCTTACCTTAACTTCATTCTTGCTGGGAAAATAATCTGTATTACAAATTACAGTGAAACAAAAGATATAATGAGAATCTAATGGAGTTAAATAAAAACCTGGACAATCAAAGATGAAATAATCATCCTCTCCTTCATTCAACTGATCATGAAGCCAATCTAAATTTTGAACGAGATATTCCATGCAAAATACCAAGGCACCATTTGGGCCAAGTAACAACTGCTTATCTTCTTGTACATCGTCCACACTGATTAACTCTCGAACATCTAACATATAAATTGATTGTATAAATTTATCAATAAAGCTGATCAATGAATGTTTACGATTTTCTACTTCATAATAAGAAATTGATAAGAAAAAAAAGTTAATGAAAAGATCGATTTCGAAAAACTAGTAGGTAGTACTGTTAATCTCAGAAATTTAGTGATAAAGTTCAAAAATTAAAGGAAAAAAAAAGGCGTAGTACTGTTAATCAAAAAAATTAAAGGAAAAGTAAGCAAGACAAACGAACCAATGGCAGCAGTGTAACTAAATTTCTCGGCCGCAGGATCCAAATTAATAAGGAAAACGTTACGACCTACGGATAGACAATGTTGCTGTACCACAGAACAATATGTGGACTAAAAAGGTTCCATTAAATGATTATTAAATACATACAAAATGAAAATATTTATTCAAAGGTTCTCTTATAGTATGAATGCAATAATCTTTTTCCAAAGACAGTAAATTTTCAAAATTATTCAAATTCTTTAGTAATATTTTCATACAGCAAGCTTATTGATTATATAAAATCACTCTAACTAAAAATGAACCTTGCCACTCCCTGCCGGACCAACAACCAGTTGTGCGTATTTCATCACAATCAATCAGTGTTCATCGTCAGTTTCCAAATTTTCTGATGCATCAACTAAAGTCTGACATCAACTTAAATGAAGAAATGACATTTTTTTTTACACCATACAAAAACTTCGGTATGATCTATTACACCGAAAAAAACGGCAAATTTTAATACAAATATCTACGACTAAGTTCGCAATCAATTTTATTGACACTCAAACAAATTATGAATATAATTATCGATACGATTATCTGTATTACTACAAAATGATCGAAAATCTGACAGCATATAGTCTTGAAAGTCTTCTGAGCAATTCCTGAAAACAAAGTATAAGAGTTTCGCTCAGTGTATTAGCTAATTTTAAGCATTAAACGAACTAGAATAGAAATCAATGAACTGAAATGTTTCATGAGGAAATCTCAGGTCAAATCATCCATCCATTGCACTGATGTCTCTTAGCTATATTTAAGGATTTGTTCAAAGTTTTTTGAAAAAAAAAAAAAAAAAAACAGAAAAAAATTACAAGTTAGCACGATATCGATGGCTGAGCATATGATTCCAAGACCAAATAAATGCCTCACGTACTTCATCATACATCAAAAACATACCACCTGTAAGGTGAACGTATTGTGGCACTTGGTGCACTGAGCAACCCATTTCAATGAATCCAAAGGCTGTGATTATGGCAGTAATAAGTTGACAAATCTAAATAGTTATGATTTTAAAAGCATATTTATAAATTCACTGTTGAGTAAACAACCATGATGTGCAATTTTTTAAAGGTAGAGCAATAATAATATGAATAGGGAAACAATAGGGAAACATTTCAAAAAGCATTTCTAATTCCCAAACTATTAGCAAATCAATAGCTAAGTTTTGTTAA